TGTATGTTTGTCTGTGTGTGTGTGTGTGTACCAGCGTCTCTGAAGGCCTGCTGTGCGTGTAGGTAACTCTCCCACGCCTCCTCCAGCTCTCCCAGCTCCACCAGAGCAAAACCAAGATTACTGAAGCAGCGACCCTGAGCTGCACGACTGCCCAGAGAGCCTGCGGGACACGCCACACGACAGTAATCATGATGACACGCTGCACATGCACCAAATATAACAGCAGTAAATAATGCCTCTACTGAAAAATTAGCAGAATGTGATTTTTGTAAGACATCTTTGACTATAACGCATATTTTTGGGAATCCATTAATGGATACTTAACAATAAATGTACTGTTAACACTTTGCCTCCTTAACATGAATCACTTTATGATCATTTTGTAAGTATTTTTTTACCTACTGTTTATTAATATTTAATGCACAATCTAGTAGCTTACCAGGATTTCACCGCAAGTTGTATAGTTTATATAACTGTTTATGTGACACAATTATTATGGTAAACCAAAACTAAAACCATATAAAAACATTTTCGTTACTTCAAATAATATATATAATAAAATATAAAATAAAATACAATAAACTTATTTCAGCTAGTTGCCATAGCAACATTTCTCATTTTAGTATAACTTGATGTACTAAAATAAACTAAATCTGAAATTAAAATGAATGGGAAAAAAAAAACTGCTAAAAATGACAAAAAGGCACAAAAGAATCACTAAAACTAACTAAAATTAAAACGGAAAATATAAAAATAAAAGCTTATTCAAAATATTAATTTAAAAAAACTATAATAGTATCTCAGTGATTCTAAAATAACACTGGTATGTGACAAATAAAAATCTTGAAACTTTAAAAGTAAGGTCTAATGCTAATTCATGCATTCTGACTTATTTACACTGTTGCTAAACATGGCCAAGGTTTAAAAAAAACGAGTTGGACGTATGACACATGATTTCTGTGCCAAATACACACCTGTGCCAAATATTTTATAATAGCCCTGTGGTGAAAAATGAATTTTAAATTCATTATGAGCTCAACAAACTGCATGTACATGTGTAATAATTCTGGAAGGAAAGTGCTGTTTCTAACAGTAGATGCACTGTTGCATGAACTGACCACATGCTCACGATAAACTCTGATGTGTCAGGTGTCTGAGGTGTGTGTGTCTCACCGTGGAGCGCCGCTGCGTCTCGGTGGAATCTCAGGGACTGCCGGTACTGACCCAGAGCGTTATAGACGGCGCCCAGATTCTGCAGAACCACAGCCAGTCTGCGCGGTTTGGAGGAGACCAGAGGAAGCGCCTGCTCGTAACACTCCGACGCCTCGGAGAACAGCCTCATCTGAGAGAAACTCAGAGCCACATCACTCAGCAGCTTCCCTGAAACACAGGTGACCACATACAATCATTTCTATTCTGATTATGATGTTCGCGGGTCAGTTCGACCCACATATTTCATATGATAAAGGCAGCTACACTAAACCAAAATATTTTTGCGAAGCCAGCGAATTTGTGATCAGGCGATAAGGAGGATGAAGCAAAGTTTTTAAATATTTACTGTACAACCCAGTAAGTTTAGCTTGTATAGCACTGTCTCTGTAATTCACTGTAAAACAACAGCTCTTTTCTCTCCACTGACTCCAAGTGATCAAAGAAATACCGGTAAGTAAAGTTGCACAGAATTAACGTAAACGTCACATGAATTCTGAGATGACCGTTCAAACTACGGTCGCATTGCAAATCATCTGACCTGAATCAGATTTAGTGCCACATATGAAAGTGGCCCAAATCATAACTGAAAAGATCAGATTCCATGTGGTTCGAGCTGTTCACACTGTCATGAAACTAAACGATCTGAGTCACATCACATATGTGACCCTGGACCACAAAACCAGTCTTAAGTGTCAATTTTTCAAAATTGAGACGTATGCATCATCTGAAAGCTGAATAAATCAGCTTTCCATTGATGTATGGTTTGTTAGGATAGGACAATATTTGTCTGAGATACAACTATTTGAACATCTGGAATCTGAGGGTGCACGAAAATCGAAATATTGAGAAAATTATCTTTAAATGAAGTTCTTAGCAATGCATATTACTAATCAACAATTAAGTTTTGATATATTTACGATAGGAAATTTACAATATCTTCATGGAACATGATCTTTAGTTAATATCCTAATGATTTTTAGCATAAAAGAAAAATGTATAATTTTGACCCATACAATGTATTGTTGGCTATTGCTACAAATATACCGCAGCGACTTAAGACTGCTTTTGTGCTGCAGGGTCACATTTGAGCAAAAAAAATTGGGCCACGTTTTCCTGCAGTGTGAACATAGCCTAAGTGCTTTTCCACGCTTCTGTTTAAAGGGTTTTATGTTTTACTTATTATTTTTCTTGCTCTTGCAATGCTTGCTATTGTTGTGTAATCTTATAATTGTGGAGTTTCGTGGAGTGTTTGTCTTCACAAATAAGAGATAAGAGAGAATATCCCAAAGGTTTTATGAGATTGGATGTTGATGTGAAGAAATTTGGTATAAAAACACTTCTTGTATTTGTGCTGATTAGACGAAGTTTGGGCATTGAAACATACGTAACTAAGATTATTCAATATCATTTCCAATAAAAACTTCGTCTCCTGCTTCTGCTCTTTCCCGGTATTCTCAGTCAAGTTTTTGGCTGATAGAAGATTGTTAATACAGTTTTGGGTTCAGTAAAACGCTGATTTCGGGTACCAGACAAAAAACATATTTTCTGACAGGATCTGGCATCCGGGATTGGATCTAATATTCCTGATGTGGAGAATTGATCGAACTTGATTGAACCTGAGTATGTTCCTCGCTCATTTAGTGAGTTTTAGTGATGCTGAACTTAATAATCATCACTAATCAGTGATAGCGAGCGTGTTACCCAGCGTCTCTGCATCGCTTATGTTCACGCTCATCTCCAGGCTGTCGGTCAGCACGCTGATGATGTCATCGCTGGAGCTCCGGCCGCTCTGTAGCATGTGTTTCCCAGCATGCTTCAGTGCCAGCGCAGCTGCAGACGCGTTTCCTGCTAGTTTATAACTCTCGGCGGCTCGCTGGAAACTAGCTGCAGCCTCGTCCCACTCCTGCATTACACACACAGAACAACCGGCTCAAATACACCTGCAGCTCATGCATTAGGATTAAATAAACAAGACCAGGGGCCAGTCATGCAAATATAATGATAACATGCAGTTCAATTTTCAAAGATTTTTTACATTTTAAATTCAAATTATTAACAAATAATAAAAAATGTTTCAAAATAAATTTTTTTTTACAAAAAACAAAAACAGGTGCATAACAAAAACTGAAATTATCTCTGAATTAAACTTTGAATGGAGTCTATATGTTAAACGGTTTGGGGTGAATATATTGCACCAGTTTAATTATAAGGACCGTTTCATTGCCCTTCCTTTTATTTTATTTACAATTGTGAAAACTCTTTTTTTTTTTACAGAGGCAGCTGCACAGAACCAAAAAAAGTATTATTTTAATGTATTTTTTGTCATGTCAGTTTCTCATCTTTAAAGGTATTTGCATTTATTTTACATTTATAGTTAACTAAAACTAAATCTAAAACCATAAAAAAATCATTACTTGAAATAAAACAAATGCTAACTGAAATAACATATAAATCATTATTTTTATTTATTAATTTATTAATTATAATTATTTTTATTTATTTTAATTATTATTAGTTTCCAAGGAAACATTTCTCATTTTAAATTTAGTTTGTTGATGTATTAAAACAACTAAAACTAAAATAAAAATGAATAAAAACTCTTTCTTTTATCCAAAAGAAATTTACATTGCATTGATCATGTACATTTTTATCAGTTCATTTATGTTAATTTCGCTGGGAATCGAACCCATGATCTTGGCGTTGAGAGTGTGGTGTATAACTTTGAGCTTCAGGGAAGCACAGAGAATGAGTAACACTTCTTCTCTTTAAAATGTTTTAAAAATACAATACTGTTTATAAAATGTAGTTTGTGGGAAAAAATGTTTTAAAAATCATATGTACTCATTTTATTTATTTATTTGTTTGCACTGCACAAGAATTGTTAACGCTAAAGGTTTACTGTTTTTACCTTTTCCTTTTTTTCATAGTGTGACTTTTGGCAAATTGTATTGTAAAGCAATAAGCCCCGTGAAGCCGTGGTTTACAGTGAATTTATAACAGCTGTAAACCACAGCTTCACGGGGGTTATTGCTTTTATAAAACGGTTATTCCATATACGTAGTAAGGTTTCACAAAATAAAACAGAGCAAATAAAGTGTAATGATATTAATAAAAACAGTATTCTTCCACCAAACAATGTAGTTCCTCAGAAACAGTTGTGGTTGCTACAAAGTGGTTGCCGAGCAACACACAAACGTAAACAAAGGTGTATGTTACTTTGTAGAGTCATTTATAACAGCTTCGAACGCGGCTCAGCCAATCAGAATCAAGGACCGGACCTCTCCATTTAATAAAATCCAATTAGGTTCCATTTGACCCAGAACATAACGATGGGAACAGACCTTTCTCAGCAGGTGGCAGTGTGCGAGTCTGACGCACGTGTCTCCCTCGGCGCCGGCGTCTCCCTGCGAGCGGTACAGCTGCGCGGCCTGCAGATAGTGTTGCGCCGCCTGCGTTTGGTCCCCCAGAGCCTCGTGGGCCGTGGCCAGGTTAAACTGCATATCTGCGATCCGCTCGCCTCTCTCGCCCGGCTGTGTGCGCGACAGGACATCCAGCCCC